CAAAACTCTGCAAATTTGTAAAGGAAAGTTAAAGGCAAGACACTTTTAAGCAAAGAGTGGGGAGGGAGGAGATGGAGACATACAACCAATCAAAATGTTTTAGACAGCAAGCTGAAACTTCAAACAAAATAACAATTCTGAGAAAAGCTTTCAACTTTGCTGATACCAGGGAGAAGATATACAAATTCCTGTCAAGTGTCAAGTCTGGATTTTGCACCCTTTCACAAAAGTTGCTTTCGCTCACTCAAGTATGAAATATGAAACAATATCCAATCCAATCCAAAAAATATTTGATATATTTGATTTTCCTTGCGGTTACAAAGCGCTGCATAGTGGTGACCACAAGCTATCCACAAATATACAAAAATTTGTGATAATATTTTGAACAATATATATTTTAGGAGGCCTTTTCCAACAGTAAACATTGTGAAGAATGCGATGGGCATTAAGTACATCATGTACATTATGAGAAAGACAAAAAGTGTAAGAATATGTAAGGCCTAGGTCAAGAGTGAAAGGGTAGGTAATTGGAGGTGTATGACTAGGCTGAAGATGTCATGAACAGAGGGTCGAGTGGATATGTCAGTGGACTGTGGATCACAAGGTCCGCGGTTCAAGTCCCACCACGGCACTAATGTCCTTTGGCAAGACATTGATCTACATTTGCCACTCTCCACCCAGGTGTTAAATGGGTACCCGGTAGGATGCGAAAGCTAATGTGGTTTGATTAGCAATGGTGCTTGTAAAATGGCGACTGGCTGGAATGCTCCCCAGGGAGTGGAAAAATGTGCATACCTTGTGTGCGGGTAAGCATGAATCCGATGACCGGGGTAATAATATATATCTGTAAAGCGCATTGAGAGGGCCTGCGTTCCTGAAATGCGCTATATAAGGACGAACTATTATTATTATTATTAACATCTCAGGCTTTATAAAGAAATGGCAGTGAAGTTTCATATGTCTGTTTTGAGTCAGAAGGGCGTTAACTCATACACTTTGATACAGACTGAACGTCCTTCTGGCTCTGTAGAGACAACTTGTCCTTTGGATGTCTGCAGCAAGACACCCGGGACCTGTTTCACAAAGCCTTTTTTCAATGACAAATGACAAAAGTCAGTGACAAATCTGCTGATAACCAATCAGAAGCAAGGATTTCACTAGCTTATAACAAAAACTGTCGTTTGTCACTGATGACAAGTTTTGTAAAAAGGGGTCATGGCAAAGTGCTGAGTGACTCAGAGTAATTGCTAGTACTGAGTTGTTGAGCAGAAACACAGCTATATATAATATGTATTCACACAAAAGTCATTCTTTAGCTCATGCTCAATATTACTGAATATGTGATCCCTATAATTCCCCAAATTCGTGGCAATAATAGCTCATACAGTATTGTATAGTACTCACACATGCATAGCCAGCTCTTCTTCACATGTTATTACATTCGCAATCACTATAATTCATCAAATTGTGAAAATAATGGCTTATTGTACAATACATATGTGCCTTAAGATGAAAGGGGAGGAACAAATTCTTTGTCACCGTTACAGCGTCGAAGCTCATCTGTTCTACTGGCACCAGTCGCTCCGGAAACGGTCCTTGCCTACTCTTTTTAGCATGCTGTAGGGGTATGGAAGTGCTACTGCACTGGCCTCATTCAAACGCTCCATCTATTGTTAGGTCAGTAAAAAACACATTAAAAATAGCATTTTGTTAAATTTCAATGTTCTTTTTATACAATACATGCAAAGCAAATAATCACACTGTGCCACATTGTATGTACCATGGCACCATGAAGTTGTGTGATCTTAAGTAAGTTAACATTTAATATTTCTTTAATCTTCAGTATGTTGAATATTTATTTAAATTATTTGTATGTGCCTTGAGCATCTCTAGAGATGGATATGTTGCGCTTTATAAATATTGTTATTATTATTATTATTATTATTATAATTAAATTCAACTACTTTTTCTGGTCAACTATATTCAAACTCTGTAATACAGTCAAACCAGCTTTAGTGACCACCTGTCTACAAAGACCACCTGCCTACAAAGACCACATTGTTTGTTCCCTTCAAAATGGTTTCTGATTGAAACATGTACTGAAGGAACCTGTCTACAAAGACCACTTTTAGTGTTTCCCTTGGGTGGTCATTATAGACAGGTTTGACTGTATAATATTCATCTGTGATATGTTTTCAAATGGTGTCCCCCTATGGAAATCAGCTTTTGCTGTTAAGATTTTTCACCCCAGGGGAGGGAAATCGATAAATAAATAAATACTTCAAATCTTCACAGTAACAAAGAAACAGAAATTATTATTACAAAAAAAAACAAAAACAGAAATTTCCTGATGCCACTAGAATGATAGTGATCATGAACAGTATTAATCTTGAGTCTGTTGTCTCTAATGACTACAAAATTAAGAGCACATATTTTAGCAGTAATTTTAAATTTAAATCGAGGGGTCAGTGACACAAAGACGTAACTCCATTTCGGCCATTTTTAGAAAATGTGGTTTAAAGATACAGGTCCACTTGGGCCTTAAAGATAATACAAAGTTTTGGTATGGGGTCATGAATTTGGTTCAAATGAACATATTGAAAGCATGCGATCCTACAATATTCAGTGATCGTTGTCGCGGTTGAAATCGAGTCTAAAGTTATGAAATTATAAATAATAAACTCTTTATATTGTATAGCTCCCTCTCGAGGTCAAGATATTAATTAAGCCATGAAACTATATTTTTTTACTGAAGTCGACCGATTGGCTATTCTCGTTTGGAAATTATATATCACAACTACATATTGTGAGATTTTCATGGTCGTAGCTACCATCGTACGGTCGTAGGCGCTATTTGAAATTTATCAAAATTTACCGGGAGCACCGGTAAATTTTTATATTCAATTTTTCTCAAAGGCAGAAGTGTTTTAGGGGCTGAATTTGTTAGTGCTTATTATAAGTCCACAGGGGCATCCAAATATATCAAAATTGTAAAGAATCACTATCCAGCCAATTTTCAGAATTTCCTAAAACTTTCTATTACCTTTAAAGAGTTAGGTCTATGTTTCACTAGCCATTGACTTCAATGGAGTGTTGGGTAGAGTTAAGTCTTCATGTTTCCTGGAAAGCCCACATTTTTCTGAACATTTTGATATCAAATACTCATTTTGGCAAAATATGGAGTTACGACTTTGTGTCACTGAACCCTCAAAATGTTGCACATCATTTGTTGCTGCAGGGAAGGCCATAACTAGCCCATTGACAATACATAGTAGCTCTTGTTGCTTTCTTGCAGGCACCTGGGGGGCGTTTCACAGAACTTGTCTTCAGTGACAAATAACAGTGTTTGTTATAAGCTACTGAAATCCTTGCTTCTGATTGGTTATCGGCAAATTTGTCACTGATTTTTGTCATTTGTCATTGAAAAAAGGCTTTGTGAAACGGGTCCCTGACAGTAACATGTACCTACCTGTTGGTCGGTGAGCTCCCATCCCGAGGATGCGCCCATGTTGATGTTGAGCTGTTCCAACGTCTTCACGCCGATGATGACGGAGCATACAGCTTCTTTCTGTAGCAACCACCGAATAGCCACCTGGCTAACAGTTTTGCCTGTAAAGAGCACAGAAAAAAAAAATCAAATATTGTCTAGCCTGTGCACGTTTAAATTTAAAGCAATACTAAACTGATGAACTTTCTGCCCTATAGCATACTGTTCAGAGCAATCTATACACAGAGTCTGGCCAACTTGGTTTCACTGGGTCACAACATGGCGTGTATTCTTTTGCCCTACAAAGCATTACGTAGTCGCCTTGTTGTGTCCAACTCGAATCGGGTTGGCCAAACTATGTGTATAGATGGCTTTGATACTGTTTATCGCACAGCGCCATCTCATGGTCAACTTGCGAACAGTGAGCAACCCAATACCTCATCTTTGCTTCGCAGACCGAAGACTTGATGCGATAACCCTTATACAGCTGACCTCAGTTGGTGCTAGAGGTGATTTTGGGGTTGTGCTTCTGGGCCAATATGGCTTTAAAGCCATGGGTTTAACAATGTTAAATCTGAGATGCATGGCCCTACATGTTATCATTGCCTTTGATATGTTGTAATAATGAAGATCTAAAAAATTGCACTTCAAAATGATCATGAAGTGCCTCAAAAAAATAAAAATCTTGAAGTGACCGGTTTTACCATACTCGTTTTCCCCAATAGACTATAGTGTTATGAAAACCGTTGGGAAAACGCAAAACTGGAGTTTGGAGCAAGAACATATGAACAACTCATTGTTTTTTAAATTGCTAGAAATGACATAGTTTATTTCACAAATTTACATAAAAAATTGGCTGTAATCGTCTATGAATGTGACTTTTTCGAGAGATGTTTCACATCTCTTATTTGTTTTCTTGGTTAACATACTGGACAGATCTTTGATTACTTAATAAGCTAAATGGTACATTGAGGCAGCAACACACACTTCCATGCATCATTAGTTTGTGTATGAATGTCAGCCACAACAAAAGATTACATCAGAATACATCTCAAAAATAAACATTAAAGAGGACAATGACAATTTTGATGGAGAATGCAAAAAGATGGCATTATGTAATGTACTGAATGAGCAGGGAGGGAGAAAAGTTTCATTCAGCTTGTATTAATTACTAGCAATTCAGAAATTAAAGAATACCGGTATACAATATATAGAAAGTAGGAGTGTGTACTCACAATAGCTACTTTGCACATGGAATGGAAAACTGCCCTTAAAAACAAAAAAAACCTTAATATAGCAAAATGAAATATATAGGAGTACTGTGCTTTATATTTAAAGTTTGTACCTAACTACCATAAATAATTAATTAAAACCCATCTGTACTAGTTTACAGGAGGGATTAGACCACCCTGCAAGGTCACTGACAGGTGGTTATCTCATCAAATCAGCTCTCACTTTACTTAAGAAAAAGAGGATCATGGGAGACCAATGGTCACGGATTAGGCATTGTTTGCTATATAGAGGGCGCAATTAAGTAGCTATATACGAAGTGCAGTGGGGCTTTAAGTGTAAACTTAGGGGCCTGTGTGGATTGTCGTTGCCCTGTCTCACTTTCTGGGTTACACCTACCAGCCTCATTGGCCACTGACTGCATGAGATCCAAAAGCTTCCAAACTTTCTCTTCTTGAGCAAACTTGGAGAAGCTTGGAGAACTCTCATTCACTCCAGGTTGGGTTTCCATGAAAGCTACTCTGCTGCCCTCTGGAGCTGATTCACGTGTCATCTTACCCGACAACCACCCTCTAAGGTGCCAGTGCAGAGAGGAGATGTTCATGAGATGAAAAGTAAAGATAATGAAATAAGGGATGGTGTAAAGGTGATATAGCAAAGCAAGAAAGCTCATTCACACTAGGTGGTAAACAAGAGTTTTTTTAAAGTTTGCAGGTGAAAAGCGTTTGATATCAATGTGATGCACTGCAGAAAGGAGTAGGAAACAGCAAGTGGAGTTAGAATGATGTGATGTGATGACCTGTTGGCTGTAATGAGGGTCAAATCGATACATGTCCCGATAGTTTGTTACGACTCAGGGAGAGTTGAGAAAGTGGACTGCAACATTTTGCTTTTTGTTGGGTACAAAAATATAACCCGTGGGGCGCTAACCAAAAAATTTGTTTGCATCATATTATTATAGGTCCTCTAAAAAGAATAGATTCTCCTGAATCAAATATTTTGGAAAAAAATTGACATTTTGTCCGGCACTCTGACACAGTGATACTGCTTATTCAGCCAATTTTAAATTACGATACTTATAGTGATTAAAAAAAAATTTAATTCATGATTTCTCATTTTTTCTGATTTCATTTGAACTGTCATCAGACTGCTTCCATGATCTTATTCTTTTGTTTTCTTCTTTTTTAAAAGATTAGTTAACTATTAAGGTTGAATTTCCCTTTAAGACAAGAGATAAGGCTACTTTAGATTTCTCATTGCTTGACGTTAACATGAGTGTTCATTCTTTGAACAACTCCATTTTCTCAAGCCCCCCCCCCCCCTGAGTCATAACCAAATAAACAAATCCGTACATGTATCAATTCAAACCACATAACATACCGTAGTTATTATTTTACCTTGTTCATCTGCAATCGACTTCATAATGTCGAGCAGAGTCCACACTCTCTCTTCGCCTGCAAATTCTGAGAAGGAGGGATGGCTCTGCTTAGCCATGTCTGGCCTGGTCTCAACGAACGCCACCCTACTCCCTTCCGGTGCGGATTCTCTATTCATTTTACCCGTTAGCCAACCGCTGTATTATTAGGCCAAAAAACAAAAAAAACATGTTTAGCGTCCTGTTTTTTTTAAATATAGGAAGGAGGAGGCCCGTTTTTTTGAAAAATAGGAAGGAGGAGGCCCTTTTTTTTTTCTTTCAAAATGGCCGCTCAAAATGGCCGCTCGGTACATTTTCCCTGACAGTCGGGCTATTTTTCAAGATGGCCGCTGATTTTTTTTTTTTTTTTTAAATCAGAAATAGATTTATTTCACTAGCAGTGTTTTTCATGTTTTTTTTCTTTAAAAAAAAAAAAAAATCAAAAATCAAAAAATTTCAAAAAAAAAAAAGAAAAAAGGAGGTGGCCCCCAAAAAGGAAGCGGGCGGGGACGCTAAACATGTATATTTTTTTTAATGGCCTTAACACATTATTATAGTAACAAAATTTAAAATTCTACAACAATGTTACTCTCCGCCAATCAAAGGCTATGATTTCAGTAGCTTAAACAGTTAACAGTTATTGTATCTTGTATTGATAACAAGTTTAATGAAAACAGGGCCCTAAAGTCTCCACGAATGCCACCCTACTCCCTTCTGGTGGGGGCGGGGGGATTCTCTATTCATTTTGCCTGTTAGCCAACCGCTGCATTATTAGGTGCAAAGAGCAAGGCCCCCGTTTCATAAAACATGTTATTAATGCTAAAATTCTAGGACAATTTTGCTCTCCGCCAATCGTATGCTATAATTTCAGGAGGTTATAACAGTTATTGTATCTTTTAATTGATAAAAATTGAATGAAACAGGGCCTTGAGTAATTGTAGGTAGGAACCCTTCTTATTTATAACACCTGTGCGAGACTATGGAGACTACAGCACATGGGCCTTGCAATTATACACAGCCAGTTGGAACTTGGCTCCACTCAAGTCACAATATATTCTGTTAAAATGTTACCTTAGGATCTAAGTTGACTAATTAATATAGGAGCTCATATACCTCATTTACAATGTCTTGGCCATTTTCCATTTGGGTATTTGTATCCATTACTTTTTAAATCAAAAGAAACGCCATATGCCTACCAAATTAGACTAGAATTTAGTCATTTGAAGACTTAACTGGGGTTAACTTTGGCTGGACTCCATTGAAAAATGTGTGTCATTAAAGTCAAACTAACTGCACTGAACAAGAAGAAATGTGTGAAAGTATTATATTTCATGCTGCTTATCTCATTTATTGAAAATACTATTCCAACTAGCACTTCAATTGCTTCCCTTTTCAACTTAAATATTAATACATATTTAGGAAGCAATATATATGATTCTTTTTCCAATGGATCAAAGGCCTCAAGGAAAACGTTTTGTTCTAATTTCATGGACAAATTGGAAACTTAGGTTTTTAGGGACTTATAAATCATTTAGAATGTGTCTGTACCTTTCGTACACTGTAGATTCATAAGAGAGAATAATATGTTATATGATGAAGCAAGTAGACTTACCCTTTTAGCGGACTCCATGGTAGAATACCAAGGCCTTCATTCTTACAGCAGTCTATCAACTCCCATTCTAACTCTCGGTTTAAAAGACTGTACTGGGCCTAATGAAAGAGAAAGAGAAAGAGGGGGGGGGGACATCATGTCTTAATTCTTTCAGCAAAAATACCAACTCCAATTTTAACTCTCGATTTAGAAGATTGTACTGGGCCTAGACAGAGAAAGAGAAAGCTGAGGCACATACACATCATGACAGACCTACATTCTACAGCAATAATAACAACTGCCATTTTAACTCTCAGTTTAGGAGATTGTACTGGGCCTAGCGAGAGAGAGAGAGAGAGAGAGAGAGAGAGAGAGAGAGAGAGAGAGAGACAGACAGACAGAGAGAGAGGGAGAGTGATGGAGAGAACATCATCAAATGCCTTAATTCTTACAGCAATCTACTGTCTAACTCCCATTCTAACTCTTTAGAATATTTTACTGGGCCTAGAGAGAGAGAAAGAAAAAGAAATATTATGAAAGGCCTTCATTCTCACAGCAATCAACAAAATCCAATTCTAACTCTTGGTTTAGAACACTGTACTGGGCCTAAAGAGAGAGAGAGAGAGAGAGAGAGAGAGAGAGAGAGGTAATGAAGAGAACACCATGAAAGGCCTTCATTCTTAAAGCAATAATACCAACTCCAACTGGGCCTAAAGAGAGAGGGAGAGAAAGAGAGGGAGAGAAGAGGGGGGGGGGGGGGGGGAGAGAGAGAGAGAGAGAGAGAGAGAGAGAGAGGGATTGATGGAGAGAACATCATGAAAGGTATTCATTCTTACAGCAATCTACAAACTGTGTTGTAACATCATGAAAATGTTTAATATGGTATTAAAACTGCCATAGACCAAAAACACAGTGTATGCACATTTTCCACTCCCTTGGAAGCATTCCAACCAGGCGCCATTTTAAAGATGCTCACAATGCTGAGCAAGCTACCAGAACTTTTGCATCCTACCTGGTACTTATTGAACTCCTGGGTGGAGAGTGGCAAACATGGATTAATGTCTTGCCAAAAGACGTCTGAACCTTCAACCGCAAGTGAATGAACCACTATACCAAGACACCCAGGTAATAGTGAGCACTAAAAAAAAGGGGTTTTTTTTTCCCCTCAACCACGCCCCCCCTTGAGTGAAAAAAAAGAGGATTCAGGGGGAAAAAATGGCATCCCTTTTGGGTAAGAAAATCGAATGAAAATAGGAAAAAATTGGGGAAAAATCAGGAAAAATAAGGGAAAAATCAGGAAGAAAACTAGATGGAATTCGACTGCGCGCAGTCGAAAATGATGCCTCCGTCATAGAGCAATTTTACAAACCGAAACGGAAGAAATTTTTCAAATTCAAGTTCAATTGTAATCCATTAACATGTTCTCAGAATATCGTGATTACAAGCAATTTCTCATATACATATATGACCCTTTGATCTTTGACCTCATGACCCTAAAATCTACTCAGTTCATTGGCTCTGCAAGATTTCCTGAGTTAAATAGTAATCCATCTGTCAGTTCTAATGAGAATGCGTCCACAAGCTATTTTTGCATACATAATGAGCCCATGACCTTTGATCTTATGAACCATTCATTGGCTCTGCAAGATACATAAATGATCTAAGTTTGGCAGGAATCCATCAATCTGTTCTAATGATAATACGATCACAAGCTATTTTTGCATACATAATGAGCCGCATGACCTTGACCTTTACCTCATGACCCCAAAATCTAATCAGTTCATCAGCTCTGCAAGTAACATACATGACCTAAGTTTGGCAGGAATCCATCAATCGGTTCTTGAGATAAGGCGATCACGAGCTGTTTTTGCATACACAATGTGCGCTGTGACCTTTGACCTCGTGACCCCAAAATCTAATCAGTTCATTGGTATTTGCAAGATACATACATGACCAAAGTTTGGCAGGAATCCATCAATCGGTTCTTCAGATAACGCGATCACAAGCTGTTTTTGCATACATAATGAGCCCTGTGACCTTTGACCTTTGACCTCGTGACCCCAAAATCTAATCAGTTCATCAGCTCTGCAAGATACATACATGACCAAAGTTTGGCAGGAATCCATCAATCGGTTGTTCAGACAAAGTTTGGCAGGAATCCATCAATCGGTTGTTCAGATAACGCGATCACAAGCTGTTTTTGCATACATAATGAGCCCTGTGACCTTTGACCTTTGACCTCGTGACCCAAAATGTAATCAGATTGTTTTCCTATAGTGATACACACTATCACTAAGTTTGAAGTTTAAATCTCCAGTGGTTCTTGAGATATCATGATAACAATCTCAATGTATGGAATTTCATAAGTTGACCTCTGTGACCCTTGACCTTTGACATACGTGCTCCAAAATCTAATCAGATCGTCTTCCTATGGTGATACATACTATCCTTAAGTTTGAAGTTTAAATCTCAAATGGTTCTTGAGATATCGCGCTAACAAACTCAATACAAGGAATTTCATAAGTTGACCTCTGTGACCTGTGACCTTTGACCTACGTACTCCAAAATCTAATCAGATCGTCTTCCTATGGTGATAAATACTATTCCCGAGTCTTAAGTTTAAATCTTAAATGGTTCTTGAGATATTGTGATAACGGTCAAACGGGACGGACGGACGGACGTACGGACAGACGGACGTACGGACGGACGTACGGACGTACGGACGGACAACCCGAAAACATGATGCCTCCGGCACCACCTTCGGTGGCGGAGGCATAAAAAAACAAATCGGGAAACCGATTTAAATCGGGTAATTATCAGGCCTGGACACCTCCATGAAATCACTAACCTGTAGAGTTATCCATCTGTTGAACCCCTTGTACTGACACAGATCCATGATCTTCTGCATCTGCCATCCAGTCACGTTGCTGGCCCCCACGTAGCGGATCTTACCGGCTCTCACCAGGTCATCCAGGGTACGAACCGTCTCCTCGATGGGTGTGGCAGGGTCCCAGGCATGAATCTGATGAAAACGGGAAATACATGTAGATGGTATCATCAGAAACTGTCTTGCTATCAATAATAATAATAATAATAATAGTGGGTTCTTGAATAGCGCTCATGTCTGCCAGATTTGACGCTCCTGGCGCTCCCGGTTATTACCCTGGCTTTAGCACGGCTGCCATTACGGCGCTCTAGCATTCAAGGAATTAATTCCTGCCAGGTATGCATTTACATCACCTGGGTTGAGTGTGGCAAATGTAGATCAATGTCTTGCCAAAGGACATAAGTGCCATGTCGGGGATCAAACCACGACCTTCTAATTTCAAGTCAAGTGCTTAAACCACTGGACTACAACACTTCTTCAAGAAAAATGTTTTTTAACTTGTTAATCAGTGAGTCATGATTACAAGACGTCTACTCATCTTCACAGCACTTTCTTGCGGTCCATCAATCCTGGAGCAACTTGGGGTGCGTTCAAGCGATTTTTTGAAGCTAGAATCACAAACTGAATCACAAATCAAAACGCCATTAAAAGGTTACTGCAGGAGAGCATTCAAGCGATTTTTCATCAACGCTGATTCTCTCTAAATTTAAGCCCAGTCACTGCTCATCACACTGTAGTTTGACCCGAGAAATATAGGTCAACTTCGCTGCGTGCTTTTTGAATTTGTTTACTATTATTATAATAATTATTATCATTAATATTGATATTATTGTTGTTATTATGTCATTGATAATCATTAATTAATATTTTTATTATTATTATTGTTATCATTATTATTATTATTATCATTATTATTATTATCATTATTATTATTTTTATTATCGTTATCATTATCATCAGTAGTCATAGTAGCTGTAGTAGTACATGTAGTAGTAAAGGGCCTACCTAGAACCCTAATCCAACTTGGGTTGCCTGCACACAATTTTCAGGTTATGCTTTATTCTATTCCTAGGACTGGGTAAAGGTTTTTTGGAGTTGATTTTATATGAATTAACACAACAGCTGTATACAAATTGTTTTCTTGTGTGAATAACCCCCTTTTAAGAAAATGGGTATCAAGAGAAATTTTGGAAACTTGGATTCATCCGCAGTTAAAAAAAAAAATTATAATTATAAATTCAGATAACATCTCACCTGGTACAGATCAATGTAATCGGTCCTAAGCCTTTTCAGACTTTCCTCCACACTCCAGGTGATGTTCTTACGACTCAGTCCTCCAGAGTTCTGATTGTTGGAATCCATTTGAAAACGACCCTTAGTTGCCAGCACAAAGTCTTCTCTCTTTCTCCTATTTAACATTGAGAGGAGGAATGTGTGATAATTATAATTTTTTCCTTTAATAGGAAGAAGCAAATGGGTGTTTCCATCATTTTTTCCAAGCTAATTGCATCAAATGATTTGGACCTTTTGGGAAATCACATCTGGACAGTCAATTAAAAAGTTTGAGAACCCCTTTCCGAGGGTATATAATAACTGTCACAGCTGATAAGTTTGTCAAATTTTTCCCATAATACATATGTACATCACAAGAAATCGACTAAACCCTGGAGTCTGTAAATGGCGCTGTAAAGTTTCTATTCAGGAATAAATATGCATGAGCAGCGTTTTACAAAACCGTCATGAATACAAGTTCGCCGGCAACCCATTTATACATGTGTTTAAATAAGGTGTAGGGGAACTTGTACTTTTGTGAAACGATGCCCTACAAACTAGGTTAGATTTTATCACACATACATGTAATCTATACTGTTTCCGTAGTTTCAATATCAAAATTCTCATACACTGTACAGATTTCATTCATCTTAATAAATTCACCACATAACTTACTTCTAATAAAACTTTCACTTTATCTTTTAAAGGCCGGCTGTACTAGTTTGGCCAGGAGAGATTAGACCACACAGCAAGGTCACTGACAGGTGGCTATCTCATCAACTCAGCTCTCAAATAACATAAGAAAAAGAGGATCATGGGGGACCAACGGTCACTGATTAGGCATTGTTTTATATATAGAGGGAGCAAGTAGCTACAAGTAGTACAGTGGGTATTTAAATCTTGTTGATCTTACTTTGCCAACCAGCTACCCACGATGGATTCAGAGACGCCCATTACATAGACATTAGCGGTGTCTATAAAGTTTCCTCCAAGCTCTGCGAAGCGGTCCATGATCTTATGAGCTGCTGCTTCATCACATTGCCCAGGTCTGTTTGGATTCTGTAGCATATGATAAATTTTAGAAACAAAAGAATTCAATACTTTTAGCAGAGTAGTGAAAATCTTCTTCTTCTCCTTCTGCTGTTCTTCTTATTAATATCATTATACCGTTACTTATTTTTATCTTCCTCTTCTTTCTTTCTTTCCCTTTCCCCTTCCCCTCCCCCTCCCCCTCCCCCTCCCCTTCCCCCTTCCCCTCCCTCTCCCCCCTCCCCCTCCTCCTCCTCCTCCTCCTCCTCCTCCTTCTTCTTCTTTTCAATATAGATTTCTAGGGCTATCCAGTCTATTATTTTTTTTTTTTATTTTTTTTTTTAGTCTACTCCAAATTTTATTAAACCGAAAATGAAAATTCTTTTTGCCAAATTAATCATGAGCCCGGCAGCCACTGAGCAGCGCCAGATCGACGTTGCTCTATCCCTTATTGTTGAATGCCAAACAAGGTAGCAGCAACTCCCATCTTTTAACGTCTCTTGGTATGACGCGGCCGGGGATCGAACCCACGACCTCCCGGTTGTGAGGCGGACGCTCTACTGACTGAGCCAACACTCCGGTATGAAGATGAACTAAAGATAGTAAATTGTGTGAGGAAGATAAATTCATACATTTTATTTAGGTATGGACATTAGAATAGATGCCTTTGAATTGCATTCAATTTTAATTTCAATTAAAGGTATTAAAAAATTTTGGTATGGGGTCATGAATTTGGTTCAAATTAACATATTGGAAGCATATGCGTTCCTACAATATACATTGATCGTTGTCGCGGTTGAAATCGAGTCTAAAATTATGAAATTATAAATAATAAACTCTTTATGTTGTATAGCTCCCTCTCAAGGTCAAGATATTAATTTAGCTATGAAACAATGTTTCTTGACTGAAATAGAATATTATATTATTTATATTCAATTTTTTCTCGAAAACAGAAGTGTTTTAGGGGCTACTTTTTTATTACTTATAATACATGTACATCCACAGGGGCATCCAAATATATCAAAATTGTAAAGATTCACTATCCACCCAATTTTCAAACTTTCCAAAACTTTGTATTACCTTTAAAACATATCAAATACAACTTACATGTAGATCTAGGAGCCATATCAAAATCATTTTGATATGGGACTCCTTGTAAATTTTGATAATTCTGAATTCAGGAGTCTGCCAGATATTAAGTTTTAGAATCTATGAAATCTGCATCAAATTTGTAATATAATTTGTATGATGTTCACAGTTAAATTTTCCAAAGCAGTGGCTGGTAAATTCTGTGATAATTCATATGTACATAATATTAGAAGAGTATCTACATGTAGATTACTGAGAGAGTCCAAGGTACATCCTTTTATTGGGGGCGGAGTCTGTGGACAAATAAAACATTATTTTTAGGTTAGGTTCTTAAAAATAAAAAACTCAAAACTTTGAAAATTAAAACACCTTTGACTTAATATTTACAAAGTACTGCATCGTCTATATCCTAAATTGTATATGTATACACTTTATTGGCAAAATCCCACGTGTATTCTATTGTTGGTAACATTGATATAAGGTTCGAGGTCCAAGTTTGCCATTTTACAAACATTTTCAAATCACGCTCAGCGCTCATCAAACAAACACAAACACCAATGATCCGGACTGAGGAAAAAAACAAACACTATTGCAGTTTTGGGATCTCACAATTGCTTTACCTTGCTTTGCCCAAACGTCATAGTTCCAAGGCAAATATTGGACACTTTCACTCCTGTTCCACCGAGGTACCGATATTGGACAGCCATGATAATCAAATCCGGGTAGAATGGTCGTTTATAAACCCTCAACAAAAATTAAACACTCGGTCAAATTTGCAAGCGTCTGTCGATGCGCTATGCTCGTCAATGATGTCGTCTGCTTACAGTATAGTATCATGTATCAGCGTCTAATAAAATAAAGCCTTCTCTTTTGCCCTTTAGATTGAACGAAAAATGTTCATGAAAAAGCACTAATAATCATGACAATTTGTCAATAATGATATTATCAAACATAAGTCCTTGTATAATTATGAAATATTGCTTGTAAACTTCTTCAAATTACTGTTTGAAATCGCCTGTCCGGACATAACACTTGGTGAATTTTTATTCAATTCTGCTCCTGCAAAAATTCATAAAAACATTGTTTAGCAGTGGCGTAATGAGCAAAAACATTTGGGTGGGGCTGACAAAAAAATCCGCAGCACCCCATTCTATCATGCAGGCCCCGCTGAACGTTTCGCAAAGTGGGGTCTAGGAGCAAAGCCCCGGCGGGGGTCAAGGGGCGGAGCCACTGAAGCTCAAGGGGTATGGGCATCAGTGGCGGATCCAGGAATTTCTTACCGGGAGGTGGGGGGGGGGGGGGCACAAAATGGCATGGGGTTAAATATATGTAAAACGATGAAGCGACAGAACGAGGCTTTAGCGGCGAGGGAGCGGAGCGACCGTAAGCGGGGGTGGGTCTGGCTCCCTCCCAGAGTAAGAAGCATTTGCAATTTTAGAACCAAATTAAAAGCATTTTCAGGCACTTCCCGGAGTAATATGACGTAAAATTGCTTTCTCCTACCTCTTCCAAGAGTAGGTATCTTTTGCAATTTGAGAACCACAGTTGGCGCATTAATGTCCACCAGCACTTCCTGGAAAAAAAATGAGGACTTCTGATTGGTTAAAAGTTAGAAAAAAGTGATCTGTTACGTCTTGAGACGTTGTATATGCTTTGATGCCGCACAATGCACACACGGTGATCCGGTACTTGATCAGTAGTACTTGCAAATTTTTTCTCGAGTGTATAAACTGTGTCGTTATCAGGGGCGTCGCTAGATCTTTGTCAGTGGGGGACAGTGGCGGATCCAGGGGGGGGGGGGGTTGGGGGGGTTGCAACCCCCCCCCCCCCCCCCTTGGGCGGCCCCAAAAAAAAAAAAAAAAAAAAAAAGGAAAAAAAAAAAAAAAGAAAGAAAAAAGAAAGAAAAAAGAACGCACGCTGGAGAGAAACCCTTTCAAGTGCAAATATTGTGAGAAGATATTCAACTCATCTGGTAACTTAACCAAACACATGATAACTCTGGATATAACTATGTATTAAACTGTTACTTGATTTAAAAAGACGTTATCATGCACTGCTTTTTATGGTCTCCATTGTGTTAATAGATGCCAGGAAAACATCACTTACGGGGTTCAAATAAACACCCCCAAAAAAATCGGCTCGCCGCTTCGCGGCTCGTGGACGATGCTCCGCATCGTCATTATTTTGGTCAACCCCCCCCCCCTTAGCAAAAAGCTAGATCCGCCCCTGGGGGAGTATACAGGCCAACAAAACTAGCAACCAATTACCGGCAATAATGCCAGTGTCCAAATGTTTACAACTTTAACCCTATAAACCAGGGGCCAGGAACTAAGTTATTTTTCAGTCTCCCCCTTCCCCCCCCCCCCTTCGCGCGAAAACTTTGACACTTCATTTAATTATTAGAGAAAGAAGACGATCCGTTGTACCGTACGTTCTCTACTCTTAATTTTTGTTTGGATCCAGTGCCCCCCCCCCCCTCCTGCGCGAAGCGCGGAAGCTTTAACGATTCATTAAATTATTACTCTTAATCTTTGTCTGAATTCATTTTTGCCCCTCTCACGCGAAGCGCGGAAGCTTATTAGAGAAAGAAGACGATTCGTTGTATCGTGTTCTTATCTGAATTCAGTTTCCCCTCTCCAGCGCGAAGCGCGGAAGCTTTGACACTTCATTAAATTATTAGAGAAAGAAGACGATTTATTGTACCGGTTCCGACTCTTAATCCTTGTCTGAATCGTGAAGCGCGGAAACTCTGACGTTTCATTAAACTATTATTCTTAATCCTTGTCTGAATTCATTTCTGCCCATCTCGCGCGAAGCGCGGAAGCTTTGACACTTCATTAAATTATTAGAGAAAGAAGACGATTTATTGTACCGGTTCCGACTCTTATTCCTTGTCTGAATCGTGAAGCGCGGAAACTCTGACGTTTCATTAAATCATTATTCTTATTTTGTCTGAATTCATTTTCGCCCATCCCGCGCGAAGCGCGGAAGCTTTCACGTTTCATTAAATTATTAGAGAAAGAAGACGATTCGTTGTATCGTGTTCTTGTCTGAATTCAGTTTCCCCTCTCCATCGCGAAGCGCGGAAGCTTTGACACTTCATTAAATTATTAGAGAAAGAAGACGATTTATTGTACCGGTTCCGACTCTTAATCCTTGTCTGAATCGTGAAGCGCGGAAACTCTGACGTTTCATTAAACTATTACTCTTAATCCTTGTCTGAATTCATATTCGCCCAGCCCGCGCGAAGCGCGGAAGCTTTCACGTTTCATTAAATTATCAGAGAAAGAAGACGATTCGTTGTATCGTGTTCATGTCTGAATCGTGAAGCGCGGAAACTCTGACGTTTCATTAAACTATTACTCTTAATCCTTGTCTGAAAGAAGACGATTCGTTGTATCGTGTTCTTGTCTGAATTAAGTTTCCCCGTCTTCCCGCGCAAAGCGCGGAAGCTTTGACACTCCATTAGATTATTAAAGAAGGAAGACGATTTGTTGTACCGTTCTCGACTCGATCTTAATCCTAGTCTGAATTCAGTTGCCCCCCCCCCCCCCCCGAAGCGCGGAAGATTTGCCGTTTTATTAAATTATTAGAGAAAGAAGACGATTCGTTGTACCGTTCACTACTGTTAATCTAGTCTGAATTCAATTCCCCACTGAGCCCCTTAACGGTACATATGCAGTGTCACAAGATGTAAGTATGGAACGCCCGGCAATGCTTGTCACACTTGCTTCTGGAAAGGATTTTTTTTTTACTAATATGTTACTGTTAGTGGCCACTTAGTGACTATAAAAAAACATATGCTCTTCCTGGCCATTTGGGAATGTGTCAGTTTGCAACAGAAATGGAGAAACGCGCATTTTGTTGAAAATCATGTGATATCACGAACATTTATACATCACTTGTATATGGAATTGAAAATAATGTAAGGGAGGGGTTAGGAAATTACCATGTGACCTGTAGAGGGCGGAGTGCTGAGACAAGCCGGCACTCTTGATCTTTGCTTGGCCCTCTCACAGGTGAGTTGACCAAACTTGAACCACTGTTATGTTTAGTAAATATTAATATTGTTATGCTAGAGATTTGTTATGTACATATGTGTATTGTGTCAGAACGATTTCAGTAGTTATTTTGATGTATCATGTGGGTTGATATGATTATATTGGAAACGAGGATTAATGTTAAACTGTGTGATGCTTAGCGCTTTGATTTGTTATATGCATTTACATTGTAGTACATGGTTATGTACACTAATAAGTTGAGCGCGCGGTACCAAAATTGGGTGTAGTGCGTGCGCGCTATGCGCTAATGTTGTGCCTGGTCCCAGGGCCAGGACCAGGACCAGCTAGGGTACGCTCTAAATTGATGTGATGAGTATAAGTCTTGGTTTAGGAAAGAGGTCAGTAAGAACGGAAGGGAGCATAGAAAAGAAGTGCTTATAATAGAAGTTGAGTGTTTAAAAGTATTGCATGTTGTTTGTATTTTGGTTGTTAAGCTAGGGGATATTAATTATGGCACTTCAGTTCAAACAGTGATGATCGAACTTTGTCTGACTATGTAGCCATTCGAGGGTTTCTAGCGCCCTCTATCATTGTAAACCTTATTTCTCATTTTGCAGATTGCTATAAAAGAATATTGTTACATGTTAAATTGAGATGGAATAATAGGAGTAAGAGCAATGTTTAGGGTTAGACCAGGAGATTATTGGAGTTTGTTTGGAAGCAAGAAAAGTATGGAAGATAAATATTTGAATTGGATTGGTTGATGAAAGTTGTATTTGATGCAGATATAAGGAGATTTATAGTTTCCGGGATTTATCAATGTTTCAGGTCTTGGGATATTCTGATATTTAAAAGCAGAGATATTTTGTCTTTGTTCCATTATTATGATATATTGTTAGTTTCATTATTCATTCTTTAATATGTGCTTACTGTGAAAAGGGGGAATGCATGATCTCCATGATTGTCGGCATTAGTGATATGTAATGTGTCTGCTACTGGTTACTACTAATAAAGACTCTTTGCTTGGCCCTCTCACAGGATCTGTCTGTCATTGATTTCGAGTTCTCGACCACCTCACAATAAGTCATGATTCAATTTTATTGGGGGGGGGGCTGGCGCCCCCCCCCCCCACCAGTACGCCAGTGTTGTTTAGTGTAACATAAACATATTATCATGCATTGCAAATTCTTTACTTTTTAAATTTTGTATAGGAGGGTGTCTTTTTGAGGTACACTTCTCTATGCTGCGATCTGCAGTTGTTTTATTCATTTATTTATTGCTTGCTTGTTTTGTTTTGTTTTTGCTAGATCTCTAATCATTATAAATACCGGTAGCCATTAAACAAAGATAACGAAACAAGATTTTTTTATCCAAAAATAAATACTGTATTACTGATTCACTAGAATGAAGATAAATGAAGGTAAATATAGGAAATGTATTCACACTTAATCATCACAATTTCTCTCGTTTCCTTGTACTTCTTTCTTTGTCTCTTTCTCTCTCTCATTTCTCTCCCCCTCTCCACCTCTCTCTCTCCCCCCCCCCCCCCCCCCCTCTCTCTCTCTCTCTCTCTCTTTCTTCTTCTGGCAATCACCTTTCTTTGGCCTTATCACATAGATTCAACTCTAAATTACACTTTTTCCCTCCCTCTCTCTCTCATTTCTCTCCCTCTCTCTCTCTCTCTCTCTCTCTCTCGTACACTCCCTCTCTCTCTCTCTCTCTCTTTCTCACTCTCTCTCTCTCTCTTTCTCTCTCTCTTTTCTTTTTCTTCTTCTGCCGATCACCTCTCTTTGGCCTTATCACATCGATTAAACTCTACATTACAC